CCCCGCCACTGACTCACTTCCTGCTGCAGCCACACCTCCCAACAGCCCTTTCGGCTTGACTGCTCAGTGGATTAATCCACAGTGAGGCCAGTGCCCTGTGAGCCAGTCACCGCTTTAGGCCCACAGTGCTGCGTTGGGGATCAAGCCCACAGCACATGGATACTTGGGGAACACTTCATGTTTAAAGCATGGCAGTGGAGGAGATCTGGGGCCTGGGGGAAGGACACAAGTGTCAGAGTATGCCAGGGACTGCAGCGACACCCGCCATGTCCCCCTACCCAGGTGCCCCCACAGCAGCCCAGAGTCCTGGGGAAACAACACCGCTCATTTATCAGCGCACTGGGCAGAGTTCTGGGCACCCGCAACCAAGCCTGGCCCCTGGAGCTCTCTATCCCAACACAGAGACCGAAGGAAAACGAAGCAGCTGGGGGAGGTTGCTGGGGGGCAGGCAAGGGCCATGGAGGGGGATCAATGTGCAGGAGGCCCCTCTTCAGGCCCGGCTCTGAGGTGAGAAACACACTGCAGGGAGAAAACAGAAGGAACAGCCGAGCTGCAGAGCAGTCAGAGAGGCAGCACAGAGAAGTTCGATCACTTTCCCTGAGTCACACAGCTAGAAAGCAGCAGGCAGGAAGCCTGGTTGCAACATCTGTGCTTCTGATCCTGCACTGCCTTGGCATGGAGGAATCCAGCCACAGACGCCCTCGCCCTCTAGGTTCCAGGAGGAGGTCTTCAGGAGCCAGGGGTCTGGGTTGGGACGCTGGGTAGAGCCGGTCAGCCCTTCTGGAAGAGCCTCAGGTCCTCCGACCGCGCCCTCCCCTGGCCCCTCCCCGGCCCGGTTCCTGGAAAGCCCCGGCCCTGCTCTGGGGTCCCAGGCCTGCAGTGCCCAGCGCTCCCTGGCGGCTGTCTGGGGGGGGGGGGGGCATGTGACCCTGGGCGCCGTCTCCTCTGCACTCTCCAGGCAGCGGGCTGCACCCCTTAGCTCTGCCGCCCACGGCCGGGACGCAGGGCATGGAGTTCGGTCCGGGAGGGCAGAAGTCTGGGCGAGGTGTCTTAGCCACAATCCGGACAAAAGAGCAGCTTAGCGCGGCAGCGGATTCTGAGCGCGCCGGGACTCACCGGGTGGCTGCCTGGGCCTAGGTAAGCTCTGCCACAGCAGCGTTCTCGTTTCTCGGAGCTGCGCCATCCAGACCGCAAGCTAATCCGCTCAGGAAGGGGCTGGCCCTGCGGGAGTCTGGGGGCCGAGTTTGGGGCAGGGCGCCCGCCTGCCTCTGCGGCCGCTCGCCGTGTCCACTCCGTCACCTTCAGACACCCTGCAGACCAGCGCTAGGGCGCAGAGGGGATGAGGTGGACACGGGGGGATCCAGCCCAAGGTGGGTGGTGAGGAAGGAGGAACGTGCTCGCTTTCTGCCCACGGAGTCTCTAAAATGCCAGACATTTGTTTATCTGAGGTAGAGGTTAGGGAAGTGGGGTATGGTACGGGCTTGGGCATGCCCAAGACTGCAGACGGTTCTGGAAAGGAACTAACCAGGGCCTGGGGGATACAGGGGCGAGGAGAACCCCCAGGAAGAGCTCCCCAAGGACCCAGCACCCCTCTCCCAGATGTACAGGGGTTGAACGTCCTGACTCCGGGCACAGGGGCGGCCTGATTCTAAAAGCTTCTGTGTCTGTCTCTGGCCTGACACTCACAATTGACCCGGTTCTCTCCTCTCTCCATTTTGAAATGTTCTCCTTCAGTTACCAAGCGTCGACACTCTTCAGCTTCTGTGGCATGACGGCAATCTTCCATCTGCTGGAAACAGAACTCTACCTATCTGGGTTAAACAATAGAAGACATTTGTTCCTTCACAAATGGCTCAAGCAGGGACCAGAGGAGCAACTCAGGGTGTCACCAAGGGCCACATTTCCTCCTATCCCATCTTCCTTATCCCTGGGGCCCCTCGGGCTGGTCCCCTGCTGTCCCACTGGGGACAGCTGCTCTTGGGGCCAGCTACCTGTTCCTGTTCTGACAGGAGGAGCAGCTCTGTTCCACTCTGTCCATGCAAAGTCCTGTCAGAACCTGGCACGGCAAGGACCCCTGTAATCCCAGCACTCTGGGAAGCTGAGCAAGAAAGAGGGACCCCGAGGGCCGGGGATTTAGCTCAGTGGTTCCACCGCCTGCCTCGCAAGCACAAGGTCCCAAGTTTGATCCCTGGTACCAAAAAAAAAGAAAAAGAAAAACGGACCCCGTTTGAGCCCGGCTGGGTGATTTAGCAACTTAGTGAGACCCTGTCTCAAAATAAACAATAAAAAGAGCTAGGGATGTAGCTCAATGTGAAGGCCCTGTGTTCAGCACAAGAAAAAACAAGCCCTGTCCTGTATTTATTCTGCCTGCGGGATGGAGAGAAATCCCCCCATGCACCCCTCATGGTTGCCGGTTGCTCGGCGCCATGCACCTCAGGAGTCATCGGGGCTCCGGCCCCCAGAGCTGCCTAGATCTCCCCAGCTGGGGTAGGGAAGGGACTGGGGGGCGGGGGACCCCACATACACCCTCCCTGGGAGTCCCTGGGGTTGCCTGGCGGGCATCCACATTCCCCTGGGCCTCAGAGGCCAGTGTGGCTGCCCCTCCTCACTTGCGCTAGGCCTGGCTCTTCCCACATTCTGCCCTGTACCCTGACCTCTTCCAGCGGCATTTCACCCCACATCCTTCCTCACCCCCAGAACACCAGGCTTGACATCCTGAAGTTCATTCTGAACCCCAGCCCCCTGCCCTTCAACCTGCATGCAGACATGTCCTCCGTGGTGCCCTTCCCCATGTACTGCTGTCCTCTCCACTGCCACCTCAGCCTTTCGGAAGCAGCATTGCTTTTGTCACAGCCAGAACCTTCAATGTCTCCCACTGCCCACAGGACAGATCTATTTCCTTTCACCCGAAATTCAAGGCTCTTTGGCAGTCGGCCTCCTACTCTATGGGCTCCCATTTTGCTCCCTGCTCTGCTGCTGGAACATGCCCCTGTCTGGCTCACGTAGACGTGAAAGAGCCTGAACATTCCAATCCCCAGGCCTCTATCCTCCACACAACCTGCCTGACTCGCGAATCCACTATATTGTGTGTGTATCTGCCTGTCTGCCTCCAACCGCTTCCAAAGCTCTTAACAGACAATTGCAGCTGGGCACGGTGGGACAGGCCTGTAATCAGCTACCCAGGAGGCTGAGGCAGGAGGATCACAAATTCAAGGCCAACCTAGGCAACTTAACAAGAATCTGCCTCCAAATAAAAACTGAATGTCCTCCAATTCCCTGAGAATCTGTTCTCACAGACACGTGGAAGCACCTGTCTGTGCTTTGCTGTGTGGCCAGCGAGGAGGGCGGGATTGGGATGCCGCTGTGAGAAGGTGCGGAAGGCGGAGCCTCCCCAGAGTGGTGGTCCCTAAGGGCGGCCTGTCCAGAAGAGAGCCACGGCTGTGGGTCTTGGGCAACTTACTTCGCCTCTCTGGGCTTCCATTTCCTCACCTGGGGGAGAGGGTATCATGCCACTTCCTCTGCCTGCACCCCAGGGTCGGGGTCTGGGCCCAGGAGCGTTCATCCAGGGACCCGGCCTCCGTCCACCCTGCCCCTGCAAGCCCAGAGAGGGCTAGAAAGAGCCTGGCCCGCCCCCAGCGGGAAACTGCGCCAGTCTGGTCCCCTGCAGGCTATGCGGAGACCAGGAGCTGATCAAAGGCCACGTTGTAAACAGCAGGAAGGGCTCGCTCCCAGGCGGGGCCAGCCTCGACCGACTCCTCCAGGAGGGCGGCAGGGCCTTTCCGCCCTCTAGTGGACACAGCGGGAGGTGCACCCACTTGTGCAGTCTGGCGGCGAACCGCGAGGCAGCGGCGAGGTCTGCAGAGGGCGAACGCCCCACCCCCATGGGGTATGGGGTGCTCTGACCGCGGGATCACAGTGCTCCCGGACACAACTGCCAGCAACCTCCCCGGTCTGCGTTGCTGTCCCGCGGTACAGGTGGAGAGACAAGGGCTTAGAGGTATGGATCGCTCGAGGCCTCACAAAGGGGGAGCTGGGGTTCCTCTCCAGGGCAGGCTCAGTCCACCACGGGCTGGGACCATGCAGGTTCATTGTGGGGCAAAGTTTTCTCATGCAAAGTCAGAGCGGCTGCTCTGTCACCCTCTATCTGAAGCTTGAACTTGCCTGGGTGCTCCCTTGCAACTCGGGCCACACCAGTAGCTGGTGACCTTTTTTCTAAGGGACACATGGACAGAGCTTTCTGTCGACAGCCTGACAGTGGCTGTTTTCAGCCTCGTATTGCTGCTGCTCACCTCTGGGCACGCAGCAAACAGCAGAGACGACGAATTAGTGAATGAGTTCGGCTGTGTTTCAATAAAACTTTATTTATAGAAATAAACTGAAATTGCAATTTCACATCATTTTCATGCATCATTTGAAATGATTTTTCTTTTGTATTTTTTTCAAGCATTTAAAAGTGAAAAACAAGGACCCGGGATTTAGCTTCGTGGTTTCGCCACCTGCCGCGCAAGCGCAAGGACCCAAGTTCGATCCCTGGTACCAAAAAATAAAAAAAATTTTTTTAAAAAGTGAAAAACCTTGTATGAAGCCCTGGGCTCAATCCCCAGCACGAGAGAGAGAGAGAGAGAGAGAGAGAGAGAGAGAGAGAGAGAGAGAGAGAGGGAGAGAGAACCATCCTTAACTTGCAAGGTACACACAGGTGGCAGGCTATGATGTCCCACCCTGCTCCGTGGTGTAAGGTGTAGGAATCTGTCTCCATCATGCTTCAGCTCCTCAGTCCGATTGTTCCTTCTTTGTCCCTTTTCCTTGTTCCATTCCTTCTTCCCGCCCTCTGCCCTCATCTTTTCTCGTCCATGGGACCCATTCAGTTTCCGCAACCTGGCACGGAAGTCAGCGCCCGCCCCTTCCAGCGACACTTTCGCCACAAGCCTGTGTCCAGCCACTGTGCCTGGCCAGGGTCCTTCTGTTGGCCCATACTCCTTAGCTGTGTGTTTTAGAAGCCGACATGCCTCCAGCAGTGTCACAGTGTGCTAGAGAAAGAACCTGGCTTGGTCGCTACTCTGATTGGAGTTCAAATCCTGCCTCTGCCACCAGCCAGCACTGATCTTTATCTCTTCCTTCTCTGGCAGTCACTGTGCCCGTGTCTGGTGCTGCACTGTTGGAAATGTGAAGGTTGAGTCAGCAGCTGGGAGACCTGGGGCCTGGTTCCAGCTCTGCCTTTTAGGAACCCTTGTCACTTGAGGGGTGTCAGGGGACTGGAGGGTCAGAGACGTTTGCATCCAGATACACAGACCAGGATCTCAGAAGACGGAAAGATTTGGGAGTCAACAGCATGTAGATGGTCCCACGGCCACAGGGGAGGATGACATCATGCAGACAGAAAAAGAGGAACGCCTGAAAACACCCACAAACCAGTCTACCCCGCTGTGGCCAGCAGGTGGCAGCAGAGGCCACCAAAGGTGTTCTGAACTCCGGAGAGAAGCCGGTTTGCCAAACTTCGGGTTGATCTGGTTGAGCAGCAGTGCCTGGCACAAAGTATAGAAGAAGAGCCAGGGATTTAGCTCAGTGGTTCCGACAAGTTCGATCCCTGGTACCAAAAAAACAAACAAAGTGTAGAAGAAGGGAAACTAAGTCAGCAAAAGTGGTCCGTGTAGCTTTTTCCAACTAAAAGCTAACTGGATGGGGCTCCACCAGGCGTTCTCTTGGAAAGAGCCCTGAATTAGGGGTCAGAAGCGTCACACTTGTCTAAGCGTAGGAAGAGGAACACAGGCTCCCATCTCCAGGCCGCACAGGTGCAAATCCCAGTGCTACTGTTTCCCAGCTGTGTGGCCTTGGGAAAGTTACTGGACCTGTCTGTGTTCCAGTCTCTTCAGCCTCAAGCTAGGGATGGCGATGATCTCTATCTCTGTAGGCTCCTGTGAGTGTCAGCTGATATTGCATGAAGAGCTCTTAGAACAGGGCTTGGCACAAAGCAAGTGCATAGAAAGATTAACAGTTAATATTATTATCCTTAAGATCATCCCTGAATGGGGACCCCCACCAGGGTCCCTCCTTCCCAGGAAGAGGCCCCAACATTCAGAGTGCGGGACTCAGAAAGGTAGCAGTGCACTTTCATGCCACGTGGGAGCCCCCGATTTCAGACGCCTGTGATGGGCTGGGGGGTGAGGCGTGAGCTCCTTACCCATCACGTGCTTTCACCTGGCCCCAGGCCCTGTTTCCGGTCCCCTTCCTTGGCCCCGCCTACCCCAGGGTCCCCGTAAAAGGCTCCTAGAGCTGGATTCGGGTTAACTCGGGGTAACTCGGGGAGAGGGGGCCAGACAGCCCCTCAGGCTCCCCATTTCCGCCTTCCCTGCAGTACTACTTCTCAGGGGTCAGTCTGGGGTCCCAGACTGCCAACTGAGCAACTGCAGGGAGAGGGGTCTAAAAACAACTGGACTGGGGATGTAGCTCAGTGGCACTGCGCCTGCCTTGAAAACGAAAGCGCAAGGCCCTGAGTTTGATCCCCAGTACCAAAAAACAAACAAACAAAAAACAACTGAGATCAGATGTTTTCACTCATCTGCGGCTGGAAGCTGGTGGGGCTCCACTGCTCCTGAACCCATTCCTGACCCCGCTGCTCAGAGCCCGGCCTCTGCAGGGCCTGCACCCCTCACCCCGTGGGGGCAGTGGCCGCCCCGTGCTGCTGGGCCCATGCACCAGGTGAGTCTTGGGCACTGGAGGCTGCCATCGTTTCCAGGCATTTGATACCTACCTGAGCTGGTGGCATCAAACCACCCTCAACTGCCGGGAAGGGGGACCTACAGTGTCCCCTGAAAGTCCCTCTCTTCGGGAGCAGGGGCGTGAACTGCTACTGATGCCCATTCCGGACATGCCTGAAGCTGAAGGGTGGGCAACCTCTGCCTGGCTCTCTCTGGTTCTTGAAATGTGTGTGGGATGAGCAGAGCACCACCTGGGCCTGGGAACCCTGAAGGGAACCAATCAGCAGCATGGGTTCAAACGCTTGGAGACCCAAAGCAAACTGAGCATTCTGCTGAGCCGGGGTCCCTCTGAGTCCAGGGCCCTGTTTGACAGCAAGATGACACATCCCTGAAGCCAGCCCAGCTGAGGATATCCTCCCTCTCTCTCTCTCTCTCTCTCTCTCTCTCTCTCTCTCTCTCTCTCTCTCTCTCTCTCTCTCTCTCTCCTCCCTCTCCCTTGCCCTTCATTCATTCTTCCTCTTTCATTTATTTTGCACTACTGGGGATTGAACCCAGGACCTTGCACCTGCTAGGCAAGCCGCCTACCACTGAGCTCCCGACAGACCGTGAGCAGGTTCTCTTCATGAAGGAAAGAGCTTAGAGAAGTTAAAGCACCGCAGGCCCAGGTGACACACGGTCAACGAGAAGCATGTGAGCCGGTCGCTCCTGCGGATACACCGTTCATCCCCTGCGCATCCGCTTCCGGCGGGCAGAGCCTCAGTGGTGGAAGAGGGACTGCAGGAAGCTGGCATTGAGCAGGGGCACCCTGAGGTGCGGCAGACTCTCCCCGGTGTGAGCTGCCTGTGCTGGGCTCCTGGCGTCTGACTGGGACGCGGAGCCAGCTCCAGCATAAGGCAAGAGGAAGGTGCATGCCTGCAGCCCTGCCTCGCACTGAGACTGGGAAGTGCCTTCGCCTCTCTGAGCCTCAGTTTCCTCACCTGTAAAGTGGGACAACCCTGTCTGCCTCAAGTGACCATGAGGGCTAACTGTGGTCTGGAATATTCAACACCTGAGGCAGGTCAGCTGCCCAAGCAGCCTCAGGCTCTCCCGCCCCACTTATACCTTCTCTGCCTGCAGGGAGCCCCGCCTGCCTCTGCCCCTCCACAAAGCAGCCCCAGCTCCCTTCAGCTCTCGGCTTCTCCTCCAGGCAGCGCTGGCTGGCGAGGGAGTTCTCTTCCAGGCTGCCTCTCCCTTAAATAACCTGGCAGCGCCCTCTGGGGTTCAAGGCTTATTGCGAATCCTGCCAGTGAGAAGCAGATTAAGATGGCAAATGTGGGGAATCCCCAAGCTGCTGGACTCTCATCAACCCACTGTGGCCCGACTCCTGCTGAGGGGCAGTCAGGGCCCCCTCAGAGCTGACAGTGCACCTGCTTCCTCCTCACTCCCCAGCAAAGTCTCACCCAAGTCCCCATGCCCCCTTCTCCTGCCCTGTCACTCCCAGGGGCGCATTTCATCCCACAGGGACAGTCGGGGCTTCTGACAACCCCTGGCTGAGTGAGGTCCCCGCCTGCTCGGCTCCCACCTGCCCCGGGGATGGCTCCCTGGAGACAAAAGTCCCTTCTAGTCCCTCCCCAGCCCGGGCCAAGACAGGAAGTTGTCAGCTAGGTTGGGCAGGCACCGCAGGGCTGAAGGACCCTGGTGCCCCCTGAAAGAGAGCAGATCCTCCCCCCGCCCCAGAACCGAGCCAGCTGCACCTTCAGGCTGTGGGGCGTCGCCCGCCCCTTGCCCTCTCTCTGGGAGTAAATATTGGATCAGGTTTAGTCACCAGCTGTTTCGTGAAGAGCAAAGTCAGTCGTGGGTCTGTGAGTGGCTGGGATCCAGGGGAAGAGACCTGGAGAGACGTCAGTGCCCTGGGGACAGCAGGCTGGGGAGGTACAGATCCCGGGCGGCAAAGCCCTACCTTCCTCAGCTGCCAAGGCACTGCTGAGTCCCACCATCCTGTGAGGCCGCCCCCTGAAAGGGGTCTTTCTTGCTCGGCCACGTGGCTCACTGGCCTGACTCTGGACAGCTTGGTGTATGCAGGTATTGTACCTGGCCATACCTGTTCACCCAGCGAGACTTCCAGCCACAGCCCAGCTGCTCAGAGGCCTTTTCCCGGGGAAATGACGGACATATTCAGGTGCATTTTGGCTGGACATACCTGTTCATTCAGGTGTGGGGCCCTGGACCCTGCTGGTCACCCAGGTGTGCTCCAGCTGAGCAGGCCCAGTACCTGCCCCTCACTCCATTGGGCTGTGGACCTGAGAGCCCCTGGGAACCCCACCTTCTGGTCACAGGGCTCAGCCAGAGGAAAAGGGGCAGTGGCCCAGGCTGCTCCCTGTCCCTGACCCCTGCTGACCCCTCCCTGTTCTCCCAGGCCCCACTCCCAGCCTTTGGGCCACACCTGGCTATGCTGGGGCCCCAGAGCCTCCCAGGCTGCAGGAAAAGGGGAAGCTGGTCTGGGAGGAAATCAGGGAAATTAGCTATGATTCCAGGGAACAATGGACCCCAGGGCTGGGTCCACTTGTGGTGCAGGCAACATCCTGCTGGTCCCGACTGGGTACGGGCTGAAGAGCAGTGGGACAGCTGCCTTCCCTCCGCCCTGGGCACACGTCCCGAGGGGCTCGGAGGGAGGGCATTTGTCTGGGCTATGCTAGCCACAGAGGACAGCACCGTGAGTCACCACCACAGCTGTGCTCACCTCTCCCTCCCTACATGGGGGGCGAGGTCACAGTGTGCGCCTGGGGCCCATCAGAGGCAGAACAAACCCAGGGGAGGCGGGGAGTGGAGGGCAGCTTCCTGCCTCCTCAGAGTCGGGCCCTGGGCTCTGCTGGATGCCAGCCACCAACCCAGCTGCTGAGTGCTACCACGTACATCAAGCAGCACCTGTGGCTATCCAAGCCTTCAGAGGGTCTGGAGGCTCCAGCCACTGGGTCTCCCTTGTCTGCCCCTGTAAACTCAGCTTCTTGTTTGTTTTCTCTGCAGCTCTGTCCTTCCATCAGGATCCAGATCTGGAGCATGAAGGGTCATGTGCAGGGTTCCAGGGCCTCTGGGGTGGGCTGGGGGTGCAGGCCCAGGCAGCTGGCTTCTTTCCTGTCTCCTGTTCCCAGCCTCATGCTGGGCAGGACTCAGAGGCCTGGGGCTTCCTCTATGCCCTCCGGGGGATCATGGGTGGCTGGAGATGTGTGTCCAGGGCACGCTGCTCTTCAGGACAGCTTTGAAATATTTGTCCAGAATGGGTTTAGAAGAGGGGCCAAGGGTTCTGTGGCAGTGAGCAGAGGGCAGCTGCTGGGGCGACCCTGGTCCCTCTCAGCTCTCCAGGCAGTACAGAAGCCCTAGGGGATGGCCAGCTCCACCCTCCACCCCAAGAAGTCACAACTGCAAGGGGAGCACACTTGTACCCTAAGAGGCTTGGGAACAGTTTCTCCTGGCACACATCTTGTTCCAGGCCTGGGTGTTCTGTGCACCTGCCAGCTGGCCCAGGCCCCTGGCCAGTTCCAGCTCCTGGGCCTCGGGGTGGCATCTCATGTAGCTCCCTGTTGGCCTCCATCCCATCAGCCCGAATGCTTCTGAAGAGGCAGTGCACGTGCGCACGTGCATGCGTGTGTACGTGTGTGTACGTGTGTGTGTGTGTGTGTGTGTGAGAGAGAGAGAGAGAGAGATATGGGTGGGGTGCCCTGCTGTTCTCAGGCACACCTGGAGCTAGGATCTCAGGACTCCTGTCTTTAGCACCTCACTTCCTGGTCCCAGCGTCAGAATCTCCTGCAGCTCCACCTTGTCCTATGTGCTCTACCTGGGCCCTAGACATCCCCATAGGAAAAACTGGGGCTCCCTTCTCCTTCCAGACCCACTGGCTTCCTTTCCCCAGGACTCCCCAGATCTGCTCCCCAGGTCACAGGAGGGCCTGGGGCCCAGAAGCTTGCATCTCATACCTCTGGCTTCCCTTTTGCAGAGCAGCACTGGGAGCAAGGCCTCGCCTTTGCCCAGTCCCTCCCCACTGCCTTCTGGAGCCCCCCAGGAAGGGTGGGGAGCCTCTGAGGCCAGGGTCTGTGTTTAATTATGGAGCAGGAGCTGGGCAGTGAGGCGGCTCCCAGCAGGAGGGTTCTGGGCACCTTGGCTAATGAGATGGTGCCAGCCAGCTGACAGTGGCAGGCCCTGTAATTTACGGGGCCTAATTGCTGTGGAGGTTATCGCTTGTAATGTGATCAGAGCCTAGGCCTCTTCTTTCTAACCCAATAACCGAC